GTCTCATAAGAAGTAATTTGCCTTTTTTGATTTTGTATTTTCATTCTAATTGAACTACCCCCAGATTGTTGTTACACTTCAAAACGTGTGCACAAGTTTGATTACAACGTATAACAAAAATAAAAAATTTCCTACCAGACAACTGTAGGCATTTTTTCTAGGATGGGTACTTTTACCTACGGGGGGGGAAAAAAAAAAAAAGTAGTCCTACAAATCAGGACAAACTGTTTTTATGAGAACTAAACAGCTCAGCTCACTCTTATCCAAATCTTTAGTTTACCAGAACCCAAGAAAGCTGATACATCCTACCACCTCACAAGAAGTAGCTAAAAAGCACACAATGAAAAAAAAAATCCCTCATGATCTCAAGTAACAACTTTAAACATAAATGAAAAGGCAGAAATGACAGAATATAGTCCCTTAAAATGGAGCTGGAAGAAGAATGAGGTAATTATCTAAAAATTGCCCACCTGAAGAAGCAAGAGTGCTCAAGACTTTCTGACAGTCTAATTTCAGTGAGATTGAATTTCATTATTTACACCTGAGGGATGAGCAAATTTTATATCCCTCATCACTACAAAGAAAATTAGCATGGTCAAAATATTCAGTTATGTCCTAAATCATATCAAGGCCGGAAGCAACCACAAATAGAATGAAAATCTGTCTATAAAATTTATTGAACAATTCTTGTCTGCAGGTATTACATACTTGCTGTTCCTTTGTTATCAAACCTGCACGTCCAAACTGGTTAATTAAGAACAAAGCTAATTGTTAGAGCTTCAATAATTGTCATCATTAGAAAATTAGAATATCTGGCAGCTCTACCAAAATGTTGCATCAGTTGGTTTTATATTTCATAAGGGAAAGATGGTCTAGTTTCTACACAGTGTCAGATACAAATGACTGAGATCAAATCCTTTCTTTGCTCTGAACCTTCTCCATGAAGCTGGTCAAACTGTCACATCACCTTTAATGCATTTCTTAACTACCAAACACTGCTTTATTTCACAGGGCTGTAACAATGATGAATACATTAAAAAGACTGTGAAACTGATATTTTGGTAAAGGGGACCATACAAAGACTGTAAAGAGGTACAAAACAGACATTTAAATTTGGTCAAGTTTTTTGCCCTTACATGCATGAGTGGGAACTCAATCACGTATAAACCAAAAGAGGCCTATGTTAAATGAATCACAATCCCCCCAAAATGAATCACTGGTGTAACTTGATTGAAGTTAATGAAGCTGCAACCATTTAAACCCAGTGGTGAATTTAGCCTTAAGTCCTGTTTCAACTCTCCCCTTCCTAACAGGAAGTTATTAAGGTAATTCATTTCAGCTCTAATTCTGTAAATAGATGTTGGCTATATGAGCTGTCTCTAACAATTTACACATACTTTTGATTAACAGATCTTGGAGAGGTTTTCTGAAGCACACATCAGTTTTTCTATTAGAATTTGAATGTATGTTTCTGATACCTCAGCCTGTAAACAGATCTACTTTGTTTTAGACCAGTTTTTCATAAAACTTATTATCAAGACCACTTTAAGTAGTAGTTTTCATTTTAAAAGAACATCTTTCCATTAGGAAGTCCCAAATATCACAAACATTAATAAAAGCTAGCATCAGTACTGTAAGAGGGTAAAAAGTAATTTCACTAAAACCCAAACTGAGATAGTTCAAATGATACCAAGGCAGGAGATTTACAGCCACTAGAGACATTGAATGATTACTATTTCTCCTTGTACTAATGATGTCTTATTTCAGTGCTGAAATAGTAGACATTAATAGTCTTCCACGAGAAAAAGAGAAATCCAGAAAAGAAACTAAACTGCTATCAAAACAACATTGGCTAAAGGGCAATTTTATATGCCAGCCGTCATAAAATCTTCCTAGGATCAAATGTGTAAGCGCTGCACTGTGAATGTCACTTTATTTTAGAAACACATGAATAAAAGGAAGATGCCAAAATATTAGTGAACAGCTTACAAACTTCTAAGTGTCAGGAAAGATGTGTCCCAGGTTGTTTATTTTGCCATTAGTCAACTGTAACACTGTAAAAACATAAAGAACAACACCTGAACAGTGATGCAGCTCCAGCTGAAGTGTTGGTCTAAAGTGGTAAAAATCATCATGACCTTACTTTGAGGCTAAAGCACAAAAGATTCCAAGTTTTAACCATTAAGAAAACCCTCCAAAATGTACATTACAAATTTCCATATTATTTCAATGACATATTAATCAAGTGAACCTAAAAACCTTCATAACATGCTTATATTTTAAAGATAAAACCAGGATTATTTTTTTGTTTACTTTTCTTTTTTAAATCCCAAAGTTATTTTGAATCAATCTCAATTTATCCTGCAGTGTAATATTAATTTTTCAAACAAAATAAAACAAGAAAATTAAATGAAACCCACGGACAGAGAAAAGCAGTGTTAAAATTCACATTATAAGGCCACACATTAGCAATTCAGTTTGGACAGACAGAGCAGTGTCTTGGAACAAGAGTAGAAAAAACTTCACGCTCCTAAGCAACTCTGTTCCTAAAAAGCAAGTGTGCAACACACCAAAATTTGTCTACAGAAATCTTTGACACTAACATAATTTCTCTACACTTTTCTTACAGGTCAACAAATTTTCAAATATATCACAGTTACACAGTAAGTAGATAAATAAGTAAAAAAGAGTAAAATATCTTCAGCACGACAAGCTCTTGAGCAAGATAACATTGCCAAAGCATTCAACATAAAGACTTATGATAAGATATACACACAAACATGGGCTGAGTGAATATGAAAGTACAGAATGTGCTCATCAGAATTTGATGAAGGGGAATTCTGAGAGAGGTAAACAGAAGATGCACCTATTTGAATGTTTTTACCCTGTCCACAAAAGTTTAATAGCACTTTTTTTTTTTGCCTGCACAGGAAAAATATTTGCAGTAAATTTAGTGCTGATGAAAGATGCCAGATTGATAGCCCTAGGGACTGAGTTTCTCTGTATACACAGAACAGATATAGCACAGAGTGAAAAAGTTTGTACCCCTGCCAAAATGCCTTACAATACACAGCTTATGCAACAGTCTTCACACTACAGAACCCTTTGCCTTTCCGCTGAAAATGTCAAAAATATTGCTGCTTAGTGTTCATTATAAGGGAAAATAAGACATGGACACTGTTATTAGCATCAGTAGGGACAGTATTCAAGGCATGAGCTCATTTAAAAATGTTTATTTTTGTGCTGAAAGGCTCTTTTGTCAGCTGTGAACTTTGTGGCAGTGTTTGTAAGGCTGCAAAGTCAATCTGCACCTGGTGTGAAAATGCTTTCCTATTAAACAGCATGTTATTACAACAGAAAAATACCAAAGGAGTGGTTTAACATAATAAGTTTACATTAACATACATGACTATACACCTAGTGCTCAGAAATGCTCTCAAAGGAGAACTAACTTGATAGTTTCACTTAATTGGTATCTGAGCACTCACTCTCCTGCGATCTGCACAATTGATCTAGCTCACTTTTAATGGACAGTAATTCCCTATTAACCAGGTTTTCAGCGCTAGGCTGGAAGGTATATTGTCACATGGAGCAGGAAGGCTTCCAAGGAACCTTGGATTCTTATTTCCCTTACTACTAATAGCTTGTCCAAACAGCAAAAACACTCTACCACCCCCTCCCAAACCAAGTGTTCAGCCATTTTTCATTGTCAACAGATTACACATAGGAAAACAGTAAATTATACAGCATAGTGGATCTAAATACAAAATTGCTGACCTCATTATAAAGACCAATTTTCACTTAGAAGGAAGATGTCAAATACACCCCACAGGCTGTAAATTTACTGGATCTGAAACCAGATTGAAGCATAGGATTAAATGCTACTTCAGTTCTTGGGACATTTCTTTTGTGCATGTATAGGCTTGGAGTTGGGGACAGCGATGACAAGGGAACAGGACAAAAGAATGAGGCTACTCTCTGACTGATTGTTAAAAACCCAATTCTTCCTACAGACTATTTTCCTGAGTGTACAGCACTTACAGTGCCTTTGAAGAAACCTACTACCACTCCTTCTACTATTTTGCTTGGTCACTATTCAAAGTATTACAACCAGATTACTTAAGTATGCTGAATAAAATAAGTGAAAACAATAATTCTGTGACATCCTGCATCTCAGCAAGGCACAGAGACGCTTCTGCCAATTCAAGCATGTAGCAGGTTATTTTATTTTCACATTACTGAAGCTAATATGCTTAAGTGATTCTTTCAGCTCTTTTTCTAAACATCAGTTCTGTTGTAAGCTTTTTTTAAAATTCACATTAGCGGTGGTATTTGGTAATAGGTAAGCCTTTCAGTATATGCATAATTTTTAAAAAAGAACAATCAGTATTAAGAGTAAATCTTAATTTCTTGATGAGTTAATTTTACAGTGAGTTAATGAAGAAACGGGATATGGTGAATAAAATAGAATTGTTCTGAAACTCAATCTGTATTCTGAGCCAAACAGGTGACTCTAATGATACGTGTCACTACCAGGACAAGAAAAATGATGATCCTGCAAATCTCCATTCACATACCTCTTGGGTTTTTTTGTGGAAGATGGGAATTCCACTGAATTTGTACTTATAATGAAGTATGGGCAAAAAAGGTTAAAAAACTGAGATCAAGATGTATGTACTACTGCAATTTACCCTCTTAATTAGAAATGGTTGTCTAAGTAGTTAATATATAGCAAAATAATACTAAAAGACTAGTTCTGTGATATTCCTTTTAAAAACAGACTTTAAATGGAGCCAATAAAAGTAAATGCAAAAGACATTTAGAATAATTGAGAAGAAAAATATCTCTTTACTGATCTTTTTGACCCATACAAATAATGAAGTATTTTGGTTCAAGGATAGGCTAGAATCCAATCAAACAGGTAACTGTTTTGATTCCTTCTCTGATTTATTTCAGAAAACAGTAATTAGGAAGAAACAATAATTTCAGAGCACCTAACAATGCACTGCAATTACAAAGACATAAGGCTCTACGAGGTAAGACTGTAAATTCAAATATTTACATGTGGCAATAGCTAGATTGAACTAGAAAAATATGTGCCACAATCAGTCATTAACTTAAAAATAACTGTTCAAATGTCCTTGGAATACACTTTAATGTATTAAACAAGTCTCTGCATTATAATTTCTAAACAAACAAAAAAAAATGTAGAAAACTTACCATTTTCCTAAGGTATCAATAGTTTCTCAAGGATAATGACCAGGTCAGAAAGAGGTAGTCCTTTATGCATGCAAGATTCAGTATATATCTGCCAGTTCTAGGGGAAAAACCAAAACAAAATAAAGAATCATAGATTTATCCTTAAGAGATCTATGGTTCAGTGCAGGCAAGTGCTAAGCTAAAGTAAATAGAAATATGAAGAAAAGTGTATCATTTCTAGTGTATGAAGAGTGTCAGAGCATTTTGCCTTTACTTAGTAAACAATCTCTGAATAACCTCAAGTACTCTCAAGAGCCCATTCGAAGATGACTCTAGCACTCCTGAGAATGCTCTGGATACAAAAAAATTCCAAAATTCTTTCATTACCCTTAAAATATATGAAATACAACATGGTGATATAGTAACTCTACCTAACCTTTCCGTGGCCATAACCATCAATAAACTTTGATAAGGAATGCTGAAATAGGACATTACTAAACACTTGCTCCAAGAAAAACAAGTTCTGCTCAATGTTCTAAAAGTCCTACGAATTAGTGAACTATCAGACTAATTAGTATGAGAGGAAAAAAGCTATTAAAAACATAAAGTCCAGTTTAAAAATGGATTGAGGTCTATCCCATCATCCAGCTGAACAGTCTGTCCATTTCCCTTAAGGCACAGGGGAGACTATTACAGCACTCAGTGTAAAAGAGCAGAGTATTCAAAAATAAATTGCAGATATGAAGAACTGCTGCATTTGACAAGGCATTTGCAATCTTTCCTAAATTCAGCCCCTCTTCATGCCACATACAGATCTGTCAAACAGAGAATAGGAAAGACACAATTTTCTGTCCCAGGTTCTGCTTAACAGAGATACATCAAACAAAATTACTTTGTTTATTAAGTAGGCATGTGTTAATTTCTCACTTTACAAACAGAGAAATGAGAAGAAATGAAGCAATTTGCACAAAATCATACAGAAGGTCTACTTCTGAGCAGTCAAATTAAACTAAAGAGCAGTCTACTCTGTGATTGCCAGATTGCTCTTGCCTACTGCACAAACTAGGCAGGGAGCAGGGAAACACGTTTGGGAGGATTCTCTCTCCCCGTTCACAGAACTCCATCACACCGCGGCCACTCACCTGCCACCCACAGGTTTTAGCACAGTATCCCTGAAGGATGAACTCCAGTTTTGCAGAACGTGAATACGTTTTGGAGATGGTTCTAAAGTTATTTCTCGTTAAGGCATTAGGGAAACCGTTGAAAAGAGCAACGTCGCTGCTACTGAATTACTGGCTTTACCTAAAACGCAATTAAAAGACGGTATCGGGCTGAAAGAAGCCGGCGAGGACCGATGCCAGAGATCCGCGGGAGCAGGATCCTGCACCTGCTGAGGGCGGCAGGGCGATACAAAGAACCGAGTCCCGAAGTGACTATTTAGCTGCTGACGCGGAGATCAAAGACTCCCGTGAAACACCCAGGCAAACCTCAAACTAAATACGTAGCTCCTGGGACTTCCACCAACAAACCGAGCAAACACCGCTCCACCGGCGCCCGGCAGAGCGTTTCCTTGCCGGCCCAAGCCTCCCCGCTCCCGAACGGCCAACCCCCGCCACACCTCTCATCCCTCCGGTTTGCTCCAGGGGCACCGCTCCGGGTGAAAGAGCCGCATCGCCGGCACCTGCCGTGCCGGGCTGAGGCGGGCAGCGAGCTCAGACCTCCCGGTACCGGCCTCCTCCCGCCGTGCGTCGCCGTCGCCGTCTACCCGCCGCCCGCGCTCGCCCTCACGGCGGAGCTTGGCGGCAGCCGGCGGGAAGGTGCCGTCC